CCAGGCCCACCACAGATGTTACCCTGCACAAACCAGGGAGCCACAGCACCCTGGTTCCTCACCTGGCTGTGCCCTGCTGGACCTGCTCAGCCAGAAGCCACTGGCCAGTGTTGTCCCCACCGATGGCAGCCCCTCGCCAAGCAGCACAAGGTGGAGATTGCATGGGGGCAGGAGCCGGCTGCAAAGCAGAAGATTAATTAAGAGGCTGTGCCACTGCCTTGCTGTGATCTCAGTAACTGAACCGTTAAAGTGATTTATTCTTCACAGGGTAATTACATTCCCCTTCTCTCTGTTATCCATCCCCTGATCTGTGCCACACACACACCCAGTCAGGAGCAGGCATGTGGTCCATGAGTTGGGAGATGGCCTGGCTGCCCCTTCTTCTTTCTGTGCCTTGGCATTACAGCTTCTGTAGCACACAGAAGGATGCTGTTTGTGTGGATTGTGTGCTGTTTGTGTGGATTCCACGCTTCCAGACCCTCGCACAGCTCTGGGATCTCCCCATGAACCACTATGGCTGGACACAGCAGTGCTGCTACACCACTTTTGATTTTGATTGAGAACTTCCAACCTGTTTTTTTTTATTGTGTTATCAATACCCATTTCTGCTGCGTTCTGTGCTGTCAGGTTTCTTGCTGCATTTTTAAAGCTGCATTTTGTGTGGACAAGTTTGGGAAACACCTATGCAGAGCTCTCATACTAACAGTCCCAGTGCAGGCAGGAATGAGTAGGAGCCTTTAGAGTCAGAGAACCACAGAACCATAGAATCATTACTATTGGAAAACACTTTTAAGGTCGAGTCCACTACCATGTTCACCACTAAACCATGTCACCACAGGTGTTTTGAACACTTCCAGGGCTGGAAACACAGCATTTTAGAGTATCTATTTAGAGTATTAAAAATAGTATTTTTCAGAGGAACATTTATTTTTCCTGTGAAATTTTTCATTTATTAATAATAACCAGGCATTCAGTACAGCCCTGTTCTCTCGTAAAACACTGCATCCTTTACTGTTTAACACCATTTGCTCGACACATCACTCTCCCCCGCCACTTTCTGGCCCAGCTGCTTCCACAGGTTTCAGCGTCACACTTTTCCCCCCGGGCCGTGCAGCCTGGCCGCCCGCTCCCTGCTCAGGCCTGTCCTGCTTGCGGATGTTCCTTTCGTGCCAGAAACATTAGAGGGAGCTGGAGACTCGCTGTGCCCGGCTGGATGGTTGGACGTGGCTGGTGACCGGCAGGAATGGTCTGGAGGGGCACTGGTTGTGTGATCCCGCACTTCTCCAGCTCCAGGGGTGCTGCAGGGGTGCCACTGAGGGGCTCCTGCTCTGCCTGCGAGCTGCAGGCTCATCCAGCCCAGCCCATGCTGCTGGTGGAGGCTGAAGCTTCTTCACCAGAGTATTCCCTGCTCCAAAATCCCAGCAAATTCATCCTCAAAAAACTGGTGCCTCCAAGGGATTGGTGTGCCTGCCAAGGAGGATGGGTTCTCCATCGTGTAGGGAGGGGACTCTCTTGTACCCATTCAGTCCTGATTTCCCAGCACCACCAGCCTGCTCTGTGCCGTGCTCACCGTGCCAGCCTGCATCAGACAGATCCTGGTTGTGCAGCCCGTGGTAAACTAAACCAGGGTGATCTGTGTTGTGGCAGGAGCCAGAGGCTTAACTCAGGACTAGTGTAAGGAAACACAGCCGTGGATATCAGGGATAATGGCTCAGAGATCTGTGTGGGACACTCACCATGGCGCTGTGGGGTTTGCTGCAGCGGCCCAGCACCAACACCACAGTGATCAGTGGTGTGTTAGACCAGAGAAATAACAAGTCAAGTGTCACACAGGAGACTTTACCATCCCAAAAATAAACCTGGGAACAAACGCTCCTATAAAAGGCCCGGTGTCATTATTTCTGGGTCTAGTAGCCAACAGATTCCTTCAGAGATCCAGCACTGGGCAGAGGCAGTGCTGTTTTGGCTGTGCCATTCACAGGATGAACAAAAGCCTCACCCCAGCCGTAATGCTGGGCAGGAAATCACTGGGGTCCAGCTGGTGGGATGAAGGCTGACCCCATCTAGGGCTGGACATGAAGGGTCTCACAAAGCTGCGAGCAGCTGGAATAAAACCAGTGGGACCAGAGTGCTCAGAGCTGGATAGCAGAGAACATCTGGCCTTTCTTCACCTTGTGGAGGCAGAAAAAAACATTTAGAATGTGTGCTCCAAGCAAAAGCTGGAAATGTGTGTTCCAAGTAAAAGCCAGGCAGAGGCAGCTCTCCCCTGGCTGAGCTGCTTACCTCAAATAAGGCATTTTAGGATGTAAGGAAGCTCTGGGGAAGACTGCATGGCAAAGACAGAGACATCCCAGGTGTGAGCCAGAGCAGGGCAAAGTGGGACCTGCCAAACCCTGTGCCTTAGCCTTGATCTAAACCTTCAGCCAGGTGAGAAGGGGACTCACGAAGCCCAGGGCTCGCTCCAGCCATGGGCACAGCTCTCCCAGGTTTTGGGAAAACCTGGCCCTGCTCTGCTCCCACTGAGCAACCACAGCTCCCATTGCCTGTGCAATTCCACCCAGAGCTGGAATCCCGTGGGAAAACCAGACCTGCACCCCATGGCTCTCCAAAATTCACAAGTCACCATCCAAAACCACAAAGAAGGCTGACCAAGGCCTTTTCCAGTCAGTGGAGGAAACAGACGTGCCATGCTGTGCCAGTGCCACCGAGGCTCCTGGTGCAGAGGGAGCAGCCACAGGAAACAGGGCCGGGCCTGTGTGCTGGGCTCTCCTGGGGTGCACATCACTCACTCCCTGAGATGAGACTTCAGAGGGAGAACCTGCACACACCAGTCAAAATCACACCAAAATAGCACATCCTACCAAAAACCCAGCCCGGACTGGTTTGTTTGGGTTTCCTGGATAGCAGACATGATTCTCTGCAAAATGCACAGAGCATTCTTTCTCTGCCCCATCCCAGAGAACATTTTAAAAGCGCAAAAAGAAAAAATAAATATGTTTTTGATCTAAAACATCTGTTTTGCATCAAAACACACTTCACACCTTCCACTCCGCATTGCCCAGTGTGGGTTTGGGGTTCACTGATGGTTCAGGAGAGCAGTCTGGTCTGAGGGAATGCATGTTACTCACTCCAGGATGGTTTTTTTGGGCTGACATTGAATCAAAATGTTGGCTTATCACCCAGATCATCATGTGTCACCAGCAGGTCAGGCTCAGACCCAAAATACTGAGGACACTTCATTTTTGCTCCTGCCCACCTGCCTCGGTGCCCTGGGCTGAAGCCAGATGTGACCCCACCGGCCACCCCAGTGCTGTGGCCACTCAGCTCTGACCACGGCTCCGTTAAATCCTGAAGACAGGACAGCTGGCACAAGCCACCACGTCACCCAAAGCCCGATCCCCTGCATCACTCAGGCCACCCCAGTGGCTCTGCAGTGGCCCCTTCCCTCTGGGCCAGCGTGGGCAGCATTGGTGCTGCTCCTGCTGCGGGGCTTTTCTCCAATGCAAATCCACGCCAGGGTATTTATAGTGTCTTTATCCTAGTGGAGCCTATTCTGGGCTGATGTTCAGGCACCAGAGCAGCACAGGTTATTTTAACCCAGCGCTGGGTTATTTTCAGAGCTGCCCTTCTTTGCACGTGCTCAGGAATGGTTTCCAACTACCAGGCACTTTCTGGGGCCGGGGAAACTGGGGAAGGGGGACAAGAGGGACCATGCAATGGAATTTCAGAGATTTAAAGTTAAACCAGCATCTGCAGCAAAGCTGCCTTTGACACACCTGTCTGGGATCCACCTGGAATATTGGAAGAAGAATTTTCTGCAGGATATCCCTTGAGCAAAAGGCAGGAGGGGAAAGATTTCTGGAGCACACAGCTGAGGGCCCAATGGTGGTGAAACAACATGCAAGAGAGGAAGAAGAGCCAAGAGCTGGATGCTCCTAAAACATCCAGGGTCACCAGCTGGTGGCCCCAGGCCCAGGAGGGAGCAATGGCTTTGTTCAACAGAGGCAGGAACAGCACCATGGGATGGGACATGCTCCTCATCCTCTGCCTGCCAGGAACCCCAGCTCTGTTCTCACCACATGCCATCCTGGAACAGCCAGGGAAGGGAGACTTCTGGAGCCATCCTGTCCTGATCCAGATGCTGCAAGAAGCAGCTGCAACATTTACCAAGCAGTGAGCCTGGATTCTCAGCAGTGCTGCAGTGGGGCTCTCTCAGCTCAGAGCTGGGAGCAGCAGCTGGTCCATGGCAGAGCCCACAGCTCATTCCCCAAACCAGGGGTGCTGTGGATGGGGTTCTGTCAGGGCAGCAGCACCATAGCAATAGCATCCAGAAGGATCCAGCTCCAGCCCCCAGCATAGCAGAGAAGCTGGAGAAGTCACAATTTATTTTTTTTAAATTCCACAAGGTTTTGCCTTGTCCATGTCAGAAAGCTCAGCAGGGCCCCTACAGCCCTTTTCCCACACCCTGACTCCCAGCCTCCAGTCCCCACTGCCTTCCCTATCCCACTACACTTTCCTCTTGCCTCAGTGTCCCCCCTCTGCCCCCAGGAGAGGGGGGGGGGGGA